ACTATCCTTCCCTTTTCTAAATCTTATCCTTTTGTCACCATAAACTAGCTTCGTGCCTCTCCCTGTGTTCAAGTCTGAAGGTTTCCCCATTGGTACAACATAGTCTAATATAATGCACCCTGGAGGACATCTGAGACATTGGAGAATCATTGTGCCCACGTGAGAGAAGTAGCTTTGGGGAAGTAGTTTGAAGAAGTAGAAATGAATGCCAGTGAGAGAAGTTTTTTAAACGAAGTGTTAATGTTGAAGGAGGCTCTAAAAACTAAATACACAGGTATTGTGGTAAACAGAGCTAGAACTAAATTAGAGGACAAGGCTCTTGAGGCATCTTTACATGTGCTCTGGAGGTGAAGTGAGGCACTTTAATTAGAGTGGGTCTGAAAGCTGCTCTAATTAAAGTGCTCACAGTGTCTCATGTATTCAGCATCCTACACTTCAAAATGGCAGCAGGGGTGCTTTAACTAAAGCTTGTTTGATGAACATTAGTTAAAGCACTCCTGCTGCCATTTTAAAGCATAGGGATGCTGAATACACAAGATGCGGAGGCTGCTGGAGTGCACTAATTAGCATGCTCCTGCAGACTCGATTAATCAAGTCTGCTCTGACGCCTTGTAATTACAGCGCATCAGAGCAGCATCCCAGCAAATCTACAGGCAACCTTAGGGCTGATGTGCACACAGTTTTTGCACCATGATAATGCTTAGAAACCAACATAGTTAAAATTCTGTAACTCCCTTGGGTAAACAGCTATGCTGATGTAGTAATTTAATATGAATCTAGCCAAGATACTAGCATCTTTAGTATAACTTTTTCCACCCTATGGAGGGTTTGTTACTTTGACTGTGTTAGTTTCTAAACTAATATTTACAGCAGTACAAAAAGGTGTGTAGACTGGGCTAAAGAAGTGAGAAGGGTAGCATGATAGGGAAGAAAGAAATGAGAGGAAGGAAGCCCTTGTCAGAAAGGGAACTGAGAATGGCTGACAAAGAACCACTTAAGTAAGGTGTAAGTGGCTTTGAAGCAATATAGTTTAAGGGTGAGGATAATTAAAAAGAACCACAAAAAGTCTGAGAGGGTTCAGATTTTTCCTGAACCTTTTGAAAGTTGAGAGGTTCACTCTTTTTAATTGTAAAAATGTACAATGCCATAACTTGTTAAATCATTCTTGTCAATACAGAGTGAGCTTCCATTCATATAATTTTACATTGGTCATAATATAAGAAGGTGAAAATATATCGTGAAGACAGTGGGTGAAATCATCATTCTCTTGAAACTAAATGGAGTCTTTCCATGACTTAATTGGGGTCAGGTTTTCTTTAATATAAGTTAAAAGTGGCAAGGTACTAAGGTGATGTGAAATTGGTAGGAAGTCACACACTACAAATGCATAATGAATGTTCTAGAAGAGTTATACAATAAATAGATGTACACAATTTAAAGGGATTAAAAGTTCACTCTTCATTTTTATGTGAGTTTTATCATATACATTTTTTTAAATACTCCATATTTATTTTATTGTACCAATCCATATTCAGCCTGACTGTTACAAGTAACCAGTGGAGCCCTTAATTACATTTCTGCATCCATGCTTCAGTCCATCTTTATTCACAAAATAAATATTTTAATTGGTTTATTTTCAAATTATATGTTATCTCGAAATACTAATGTTCTAAAACTCTTCTACTGTCCTCCGTATGTCAGAGCAACATTTTTCTTCCATTATTTTCTCTTTATTTCTCAGAGTATTGTTGCACTGTGGCCTCAATCCACCAAAACTCTTATGTATGTGCTTAAATTTAAGTACTATCTCATGTCCTTAATGAAGCCATTCATGCGCATGAAGGTTGACACATGAATAAGTGCTTTACTGGATGGGAACCTGAGTATCTTTTCCAAGTTTTTAGTTATGCTTCAAATGTCATTAGTTTTATTTAATATAAAAGTGTTTTAAACTATATATATATATATACACACAGTTTGTTTTAAACTATATATATATATATACACACACACATATATATATAAAGCAAATAAAACCTAAATAAATACAGAAGTGTGTACTTCTTTTATGACAATGGATGGGTCATACAGCTGATAGGTAACTTAAATGTGATCGCATTCTCTGAGTCATTTCTAGAAGTAGTTGCTTATAGCAAGGTGTAATGACTTATGGCAGGGGAGTCAAACTCGCTCTGTGGGGCTCCTTGCAGATCAGATCTGAATGTGGTGATGGGGTGAGTGGCATGAGGGAGCCATGGGGAGTTAATGGAGCTGTTGCTCGCCCCCCACCACTAATGCAAATCCCCAACAGAGCTCTGTTCTGTGGATTTGTGCAGTGGGCCCTGCCCCTGAATTCTTGTCCGCTCTAGGAGCCCTGAAGGCCAGATGACACAGCATTGTGGGCCAGATCTGGCCTGCAGGTTGTATGTTTGGCACCCTTGATTTAGGATTTGGACTGACATACATTTGAAGCACTTGAAATGTGTGACTGCCTCCCACCTGCCCCCTGGAGTGCTTCAAAATAGCCAAGAAGGCAGCCAATAATACTGTTCTCCAGTGAGGGGACTGTTAGCATATATATACAGTTATAGTATACCTATCAAGTATTCCTGTTCAGTATTGTACACCTGATGCCCACTGTCTCCCTTGTCAGTCCATATACCAAAAATGTATACTGGGACAGCTTCTCTTTTCACATAGTCGAATGTGATCCCACTGATTTCAGTGGATTTACAGTGGTGAATCTGACAGCAGAAATCAGCCTAAAGTGACAATGTGGTCTGAAATCAGCCAGACCCAGCTGAATAGTGGTTGAACTGAGAGAAGCTGCACAAAGGCTCTTACAGTGGATCCAGGAAGAGGTGGGCTGAGAGAAGGAGCCTCTAGAAGCATCAGTACAGGAGAGAGAATAAAATGGCTGTTTTACTTGACATGGCATTTAAGTTTTTTATTAAAGAATAAAGCTGTGTCCCAAAAGAGAATTGGATGGAGTAGTGAGTCCTTTCAAGCCTGGGGAAATTGGCCAGCTGTATTATGTGCAGGCCAGCATCCTTTCATCTAGTTACCTAAGGATGTAGCATTTTATTGGGCCAATTGCATTAAAAATTGTTATATTAAATAATGCAAATATCTAAAATAAATGTGCAAATATTTTGAGTTTTAAAATAGCATAAACAGTTACAGGAGCTAGATAAAAATGAGGCAAACAAATATACTTCATTTCATAAGGTGATTACTAGCTGGATACATGGAGACAGTCCTCTTCAAGGTAAAACCATTGCACCATTACTGTTCTGTTTATTGTTAAGCACCAACAGTATAAGTATTTTATGCTTACTTTGAAACATACAGGGCACTCACAGGTGTGGGGGGAAAAACCCCCCATGCTTTACTGAAAGCAGCAGCATCTGTATAGATTGGGCACTTCAGCACAGCAGGACTTTTTGGTGCTTTTATCTAATAGCTGATTCAATCAGCTGTTAGATAAAAGCCCTGCTGAAGCACCCAATCTATACAGATGGTGGGCGAGCCGGGTCAAACGAACGTGATGCCTCTTCTCGGCTCAATGCAGGGGCACACAGAGTTTAAAGTAAAGCACCCGGTTTGCGGAGGGGACATCTCTAAACAGTCACAATGCTGGTAACTGCTAGAGAAAAGGTACCAGACTGATTGAACCTTTGGCCTAGCCTGGTTTAATCCTGTCTGATAATTAGTTAGTGTTCCTAGCTACAGAACTGCTTTGTTCAGCAAGTTAAGCCAGCTTGTCAACATGCTTTGATATTTAATGTTCAAGACATACATTTAAAAATGAAGCCCCGTTCTCACAAAACCCATACAAATATCCCAACACAATGGATTCATAAGACAAATATTCCTTGTAAAAATCAAATAGGTCTGGAATTCTCTGTCTGCTTTAAATTACATTTTAAGAGGATGCTGTAATCCATTATTAAAAATATTTGTAGCATCAACATTATGTGTTTACTGAATGGTACATTCACGATTCTTCAGGTAAT